TATATATATATATATATATATATATATATACACACACACACACACACTTAAGTCTTAACTGCAATTTAAATTTAAACTGAATAATTGATGTGGCCCCTCCCAAGGATTAGAGATATCTAAGGGAGCGGTTCAGATTAGTGGAGAAAATTATTATTCTCTCTCATTTCTGAGTAGTCAAGGCATCTAATCCCCTGTCCACATACATACTTTATAACAAATTTTTTATCAAAAGTTTTACATTTCCTTTAGATCACTTTATGGATTGTTAAAGTACAAACCTTGGCTTATTAAATCCAAAATGCTTCATAATGCTAACAAAAAACCAAACCAGTAACTGGGAGTTAAGGCAATCAGAATGGCTTGGAATGCGGTTTCAGACAAAACTGGCTTAGTTTCAGCAAGTATTCACCATGGTCGATATGATGGGGAAAAAAGTTCAGCATCATTAACCACATTCCAAAATATTTTTTGCCTATGTATATATATATATATATATATATATATATATATATATAAAAAAAATCTATATTTGAACACTTTAATACTCTTACCCCCAAGCAATATAAGGCTCTGCAATCCTAAGCATGTTGATAGAAGCCTTGTTCAGCTTGACAAACACACCGTTGAAGATCTGGCGCAGACGGAGCAGCTGCAGAACCTTGCGGACCTTCGGTGGGACACCGTTGATACTAAAAACACAACAATAATAATTAGTCTTTGGCCCATGCCAACATTTAACTGTCAAATAGCAGTAGTGATAGTGGTTTCAGAAGGATATTGGCTAATGAAACTAATCTTTCACCATTGTCGATAAGTCGGGGAAAGAATGTTCATCATTAACCACTTAGTTTTGCATGGATTGCTTCTTTAAACACAAGAAATTTGGTGCTGCTCAATACATTTAACCATCTTAGCTTGCTAGTCAAGGTTACTTAAGGCTCATGAAATAAATTCTTTCCCTAAACATTTAATAATTCTACCAATAAAATGTATCCGATCATGGCATGATTGGGAGACTATGTACAAAAGTTTTTAAATTATTACAGAGCAATTGTGGAGATGATTTTTTATTTTTTTAGTTTGATTTTCAGGGAGGTTAACAGCTCCGAAATTGCCATTGGAACACGACTCTAAACCTAAAGAAATAACATTTGAGATGAACAAATCAACCCGAGGTTATTAATAATCACTATATTGCTCTGACTGCCCGGCCCTAGACATAATACAAGGAAATACATCATATTCCCCCTTTTTGACTTCCAGATGACCAGATATGCATTTTTCAGCCCACAACTAAAGCACAAAAGTTCACTATCAGTTTATAACTGCTTTAGCTAAAGAGGTGAATACTGAACTCACAAAACCAGACACAGGAAGAGAGAAATGAAAAAGTGGACTGGTAGAAAGCTAAATAATCTAATGATGGGACAGACTGACAAATACATCACTTTGTACACTTAACTAAGATATTAAGAAAAAGTTACAGTGCAGGAAGAAACAAAAGTTCATAGGACTTGTATAAAGCTTCTACCGATGGCTGAACTAATTCATGGTTATATTACTGGATGGCTCAACTGATCAATGGATGGAGGGAGCAGATGTAGATATTTTTTTTACATGAAAACAAGAAAAGCGCCCAATTAGGTTACCTTTAAAGTTACTTTTAGAAATATTTGTGAAAACCTAAATATGATAGTTTCTGGGATGGAGAATATATTTTTTAAATGCCAATTATTTCCCTTTTTTTGTATTCCCATACTTATCCAGACCAGAAAAATACATCAGTCCTAATCTCATCCCTGAACTTGCACAACTAAGTTTAAACTGATACAGTACAGAGTATAAAAATGAAAGCAGGCAGACCACACAGTGGCAAGTCTTCAATACATAGATACTCGACTGGCTTTGAGCAAGAACTGACCATGAACCAAAACAAACACAGGGAGAACAATTATTACAACTCCAGCATTCCATGTTAAAGTCAGAACATCATAACCATAGGAGCAACTTACCCTCTGATCCTGATAACAAAGGCCAGTTTGGGCTCAGGTGGCACATAGTAGTTCCCCACTTTGCGAGCCATACGAGACATGCGGATCTCACGCCTGTACATCTGCCTGTACTCCTTGTGGTACTTTTCAGCCCTCTTGTAGATCAGTTTCCTGGTCACCTTCCGGGCCTGAAATGAATGGTGATATGCTTAAAACGGTCCACAAAGCTACTTTCAGCCTTTAGAAAGCATAGACTACGTGAAGCAGTAGATCAAATTTACCTTCTTCTCCGCCAGCAGCTTCTTGACACGCATGGCCTTTATGGCGGCGTAGGCCTTTCGCCTTTTTAAAAGGCTCTCAGGGACCGACGGAACCTTTTTTCTGTCGGGACATATTATTAAAATTATTTTCGATAAAGGGGCACCATGTTCAGATTGTCCAACATAGCAGCAGCTAGAACGTTAAACGAAAGTATATCATTTACAATGCTGAAGTGCTAGCTAGTTAGCATAGTTCTTTACCGGCTTTCATCAAAATCCATATACTGACAACAAATGACTAGAAAAGACGTGTTGCTACATATATGTACTAAATTTCCAAATTTCCCTCATTATTAAAAAAGAAAAGAACATTTCTTGAGTGTTCAGAGACGAAATAGCAGCCATGTTGAACACTACTCTGCCAACACTATCTGCATAAAGTAGCCATAAAAACAAAAGTTAAAAGTCAGATTCTCCAGCAATACTTCAATAGTTTAATTGTACAACCCCTAAATTGCTCAAATAAGCAATTAAATATGGAGTTACAACCATATGATGACTGGATGTGCTTAGATTTTAAAACAGAGGAACCACTCACTCTGCGTCCGCCATTGCGATCACCGAGAAAGAGAAATCCTCATCTGCGCATGTGCCGGATAAAGGATTGTCAGGGTGCCTACTTGGGTGCCTGACTAAAACAAGTTTAAATTACGTTTTTATTACTATTGTTTTATGTTTGGAGTAGTTTTACTTAAGTCTGGTTTTATAGTTAATACTCTGATCTTCTGAAAAGTTATTTTATAAGATATTTACTGTTTGCTATGAATTATATTTTGGGGGCAGATTTTTACCTGAATAAATGAAATATTATTTGATGACATTTGATGATATCTATAATCAGTTTGTTATGTTTTTTTAAATAATACCATCTTATGTATTACATGTTATAAACAAATTACGCTCATGTATTGGCTCAGGTCAAATTATTTTATTAATGTTGATCTAGTAAAGTTAGTACAGCATTGCGAAACCAAAGTTTACTCGTATGCAACTCTTTTAAAAGTTTATCAGTGAAAAGAAACACACTTTTGACGCAACTCTGCAGTAAGCCCCTAGTTAGACCAGCAGAGGGCGCCAACATCTAATTTACAAAAGATTAATACACGTCTTCAGATTTTCAACAAGACGAGTAATAATAATAATAATAATAATAATAATAATAATAATAATAATAATAATAAGTCTATTATTATAGACTTTGCAAGGGATTTGGAACATTCTACTATTAGGGTGAGTGTCCATAAAATGAAGCACATATCAAATCATTTGTCAAAACAATTGCTCTTTTAAAGTTTAACCATAATTTAATCAGGCATTTCATGTACATTATATAGGGTTAGATTTCATTTCCCCTTGCTTCTGTAAAGTCACATAGAAATTGTTTAATTCAAATTCAAATCTAGACTATTACAGGGATATGAAAAACCTTAGAAGTGTAACTTCTGCAATAATATTGTAATATCAGTGGTTGATTAATCAGTAAGCATTCCGGTTTCTGTTTTGTTTTGCATTGTACTCTTCTATAGATGATTGATGAAGGAATTTCATTTTCAATTGTTGGCTGTCAGTTAGTTCCCTACAGGGAGACTGGACATCTGATAGGTCGATAGAGGTTGCACAACACTGAAATGATGTAAGCAAGAAAAAGAGGTGTCCTTGTGTCCTTGTTACATGAGAAAATGTACCGTAATTACTCCCTCATTCCACCCCACCCCCATCTGAGACATAATATATTTAGTTCCATTATCTGAGCTTCAAAGGTTTTCAGTGTGTAGCTGTTTTTAAGTAAGGCACACTTCTCACCATTTTCACCATAACTAGCCAGTGTGTGTATGTGATTGGTAAAGATTGATATTAGATGTTTTACATCCTGAGAGCAATCTAAAGGCCAAGCAGGAACTAGAATTGGTTTTCCTATGCTGCATTGTGTCACAAACACAGACATTTTTTATTATTTATTTATTTATTTTTTACCTATTTCAAGTCTTTATGGAGCTTTAAATGTTAGAGTCCTCAGAAAGACAGAAGTTTCTGACCAACCCCAAACACCAAATTCAGTACAAGTGTCTTATTAGCTAGGTGATAGTTAGCTAGAAAGCTAGCTATCAGCTAGCTAGTAAGCTGTGTTTCCACCACAGAAACTGACAGTTTTATGACAATTTTAAACAGTTTTCAAGTGGATATATTCAGGTCAAGTACAACCAGTATAAACATGTCATTACTGTTTTTTACTGGACCCTACATACAGTGAAAAAGCAAAGATAACCTGTGACAGAACCAATTATTTTCACTTTAATATTGGTCAAATCATTTAGTTGCTGATGTTGTCAAACATAGCCATGAGTGAACGTTGACAAACAAATGTGCTCATTTCAATTTTATTAAAAAAATATATATATTTAAGACCAACCCTCCAAAATTCTGTTTGTTAGTGTAGCCGTAGTTGCAGGGAAAAGGTTTACTCACAACCTTGTAGGGATAGATTTATTGCTATTATTAACTCTCATTCCTTTTGGAAACGGGTAGCAAACCAGGAGAGACAAATACTTTAACAATTGCTTAGTATTTTAACTAACAAATTTTCTTGCAATATAGTCTCCAAAATTCTGTAATTTCTCTAACTAAACAGAAAAGAAATACTAATTAGGTACCTCGAGATCGGTAATTTATTTTTAAGTGGTGGGGGATTCACACATATTTTTGTCCAATTATTTGCCTTGCATCATGCTGAGTGTAGTGTAGATAGCTGGCACTTCAGTTTGTCAGGCTCCCACTCCTATTGGGTCTGGCGTTGGATGGGTGGACTGAATAAATAGCGAGTAAGATGCGGATCAGAATGACATGAGATGTGGAGCAGCAGCAGCAGCTGAGAGGGTAGGAGACAAGCCATAGTAGCTGCTCGTTAGTCACCGCAGATCAGCGCTCAACAGGCAACCGGATTCTTAACTGAACTCTCTCCTTTTTTTTTTTTTTTTTTTTTTTACTTCTTATAATCTGAGCTCTTGCGTGCGCTCCTACACCACTTTCCTCTGTCAGCGCTCTGATCCAAGTTTTGTCGGTGAAACCCTATCCCTCTGCTGCTAACAGGTTGGAACAATTAAATCATTTTTTTTTTTTTTTTTTTTTTTTTTTTTTTTGCGCGTTTTTAATTTTTTTTTTTTAAATTTAAAAAAAAGCCGGGAAAGATGGAGTTTTACCGGCGGTGG